GTGATAGACTGCAAATAGAAATTGAACTTCACCACATTTTAAATGATAAAAAAGTACAACATCTTTGTTTAAAATTGAGGTAGATTAAGGAGAAACAGATGAACATTTGAAAATTAAAATAGTAAGTTATTTGAGAGTATTACTTTAAAAAAAAAAATTGAAAACATGTAGATTGTTCTTAGAAAAAGTAAATGTTTTGTAAACATAAATTTTTTTTTTTTTTTTAGTCTCAGTGATTATTTAAGAGATTATGTAGATTAAAATTAAATCGTTTGGTGTCTACGACGTAACTAACTAATTTAATCTACTTTTAATAAATATTTTTTGTGCTCTTAACATAATATAATATAAAATAATATTGTGAAATCATTGTCTCCTCTTTTGCTAAAAGATTTAGTTTAGTATCATTCTTTTTTTTCTTTGTATCTAATCCTTTTCAACATAATTGAAAAGCAATTTATCATGATTTCAACATTGAGTTTCTAGAGTTCATTGATGCTTTTGCTTTCGTTTACAACCACATCATTTTTGTCAATATTTTTATTTATTTTTTATTATGTATTTACCCAGCTACATATATTTTTTTAAAAAAAATTAAATTATTGATACATCAATTAAAAGGGATAGTGGGTGCAGGTTTCTTTAAATTTCAAGTGAGGTCGTGCGCATTATGAGTTCAGGAATTGATATTCTGGATTTAGTAGTTCTGGTTATTTTGCTCAGAGGTTTGCAGAGGAAGTATTTATCTTTGGTATTCATCCACGGAATGAATGCATGGCTCTGTTTCGTATGACAAATTGAAGTAATTCTTTAGGACTATGGAGACGTTCGAACCGCTTTTCAATCAAAGAAGAACAGGTCGGGAAGAATCACTTTCTTTGGTTTCATCCGTTATGAAAAATCAAAAGAAACAAAAATCTCCAATGGGTAAGAAACTGATAATCTGAATTTAATTTGAATCTGCGATGGAAAGATATTTTAGTTTATATGAAGAATCAGCCAAAGACATCGTTAGAAAGGAAAAATGCCGAACCGGTCAAGTCGAAAATTAAAGTTTACCGGAAATTTGGTCCAAAATTCTTGAACAGATTTATGATAAAGGTGACATTTTTAACTTTTGACTTCAAAAATCATAAGCTAAAAAATACATGTGAATGAGAATATATTTGACTTAAAAATCCAGTATTTTTGGGTCATTGAAGGAGAATCTGGGTTTGAATGTTGTTGTAACCAGATTTAAACCAGTCTAGGGAATCTTCGAGTTGTACAGCGGAATTACTTCTTGTTGATTTTTGAATACGGAGATACAAGCCGAGGAAGCAACGTTATTACTTTTAAGAAAATTTTATCCAGCACCTGCTGTCAACCATGTGGGAAACCAAAACTAAACTAAATGTATCTGTGACAATTAGCCATTAATCAACTAAACCCAAATAATGATAAATTAAAAATTATATTGAACAAATAAATTTTTATTTTATTATATTTTATATAAATTAGTATTATATATTTTTCTAATAGTGATAAATTTTAATTAAAGTTTATCATATAATATTAAAGGTTTTAAATAATTTAAAATACAAAAATGGATATTAATGAAATTTATATGATTAAAATCTAAAAGACCACATGGTTAATTGATTATGTTAATTGAAATTCTCAATGTAATAAATATAACATATTCATACAGCATATATAAATTAATATATAGCATAATATATGTATTAGCTAATATAACTCCTTAGAGGATTTAATATACTGTATTTAAATATTACATACAATATACTAATCTATATAAAAATCATTTAATATAATCAATTAATAGTTTTTAAAAACTATAAACCAGAACTCAACCAAAACCGAAAACTTTGGTTGTAATTAAATAGAAATTTTCATATACACCCCCTGTAAAACATTCCCAAGGTGAGCTTTTGGTTACGGAGTTTTAACCCAGAGTTTACATGATGGTAAACATAGATACAAATGTTTCAACTCATTTTATCTTTCCTCTTCAAAACTATAAAAATTGTTTCTCTATCTTCTAGCACTGCTCTTGCTAGGCAAAACTGGTTACAACAAGATGAAATCTGAGCCGTTGACTAGTATATTCCCAATGAAAAAACTACTTCATTTCACTTTCTTTACTCCCTCTGCTGTCTTCAACCTGAATCAAATAGTAGAAGCTTATTTACTTCGGATAACCAAGAGAACGATAAGGCATACAAAAAACATAAGGCAGATAATTGGTTTTTTCCCAAGTAACTTCTCACGCAAACACAAATTACGGCTTTTTTTTCATCAGATAAAATCTTGAAGAATGTGAAATTTAAAAGAAAGTAAACTACAATGGAAATAATGAACTCGATCTAATTAACCCCATAAACTACCAAAAATTAACCCTCTAATCTCTGGAGAAACTGTTTGGTAGAATTTCTTCCACTGGGTTAAACAGCCCAATGCCACATGATAGAAAATAATTTATATGCCTGTTAATAATTTAATATCAATCTAACAACCAAGTCAAATTCCACCAGAAAACAATTGCAAAATGTTTATAGTGAAATAACAATGATGTGAGGAGAGAGGTGGAGGGAGAGTGAGGAGAAACAATTTATGCAAGAAAGCCCCCCAGCAGCATACCATTCTTGCCAACCTAGCACCAAAAAACCATTTATCCTGTAGTGCCCTTGCAAATCAGGAAATGTGCATACTTTATCTAAAAACTCAACTTCTATTGTTTTTTGAAGACATGCCAAAAAATGACAAGAAACAAGAGCTACGCAACAATAGCATGTTCAAACAAGAACAATAATTTACCAAAGCAGAAAAGTGTATCACTCCCTTTCTGGGCTCTGGCACACAATCTCAAGTTCCTCAACTGCCTGCTTCATAGCGTATACAGCCATTTTCTTTACCTGTTTTTGAACCAGTACAAGAAGTTGTGAAAGTTGAAAAATGACATGTGGAAAAAACACAATACAGAGGATATGACATACCTCCAACTTGTCCTCCTTAGCCCGATGATTTGGGGGAAGTAGTCGAAATTCCTCTGTCAAGCGGATGCACTCAGGTAGATTTTCAGGTGAGACAAAGTCAAGAGCAACCTTTATACACGACTGTAAAAACATGCAAATCACAGAAAATTCCACAGACATATAAGTATCTGCTCAGTCTTATAGCATCAGATTCTCTGGGGAGAGGGAGAAGACTTCAAATAAAATTTTTAAAAAAGCAATTCCTAGTACTTTCTGTAATAATCCTAAATTCAAATATCAGATTCCACTAGATAACATATGAATTTATTCTATTGAAAAGTACATATATTGTCTAATAAGGGTAAATGGTATATCAGTAAAATACTAGAATATATAATTAATTATAGATTTCCTTTTACTACTCCAAAAATATGTATATAGATACCCTCTTTGTTCACACAACAACTCAGTTTTCCACATAGTATCAGAGTTAAAAGAAAAATTATCCTAATCCTTTTCCAAAAAACTTAAACCAGCCCTTTATTGCAGAGACAAAAAAAAAACCCTTAAACCCGTAATCAACTTTCGTGCTGACATTCATCAGCACTAGCCGACATTCATGTAGCCGTAAAAGACCACTACTGCACTGGAAAACACTCTGTTCCCGCGTGCTTTGCTCCAGATGCAACTGCTCTGTTTTGCTTCCATTTTTGCGCTCTGTACTTCTATATTTCGACTCTGTTCTCCATACCCTGCTTTGCTCTGTTTTTGCACACAGATTTGCCTTGTTTTTGCAAGCAGATTTGCTCATTTTTTGGCATAAATGATTAAAGTTTGAATTTTTTGGCACAACCTTTAATTTTTTGCAAAAACTAAAGCGGTAATATATTTAATATATACAAAGACAGAAGCAAGTTTTGCATGGTTTTAAAAAACTGCTTCCGCTTTTAGAAAAAATATACACATGGCTTTCCAAAATTATCCTCACATGAATCTATTAGTTACACACATGTCCTTAACTATGAATCTTCAACACCTATCTTCTTTTTATGAAAATGCTAGCTGCCACCACCACTCTACCACCTTCTACCACCATCATTGTACCACCTCCCCTGTTCGGCCTCTGCAACAAACACCTCTAAATGCAACAAACAACGTGACACGTAAAGAAGTTTATGGCTCCTGGAGCAGGTTGCAGGGAGATGGGTATGAAATTGATGGTCTATTCCGGTGGAATTGGAGCTTACTAAAGATGGATCCTATAATTAATTAACATCATAAAGAAGGGATGATGGGCTAGGAATCTTCGATACACGCATCTATTTTATGCATATATGTAAATATATGTAACCTCAAATTGAGAAAGCCCACAAACACACTCTCATTTTTTGTCTTTCCTAGTGGAAATGAAGAGCAAACAATGGAATAGAACACCAGTACAGATGCTTGGCAGTGGAGGCTGGAGAGCCAGAGGAGAGAGAATGAAGTAGAAAGAGGTGGAGGAGAAAGAGGGGGAGAGGAAAACGGCAAGATTTTAAATTATTTAACTACTATTCAAATTAAAAAACAAATAATTAAACTGATATCTATTTATTAAGAAACAAATAATTCTTATACATGTTTGGTCATTTTAATATCTTAAGTTATTTCTACTAAATACAACAGCTTATAGTTTGAAAAGTGTAAAATTTTCTACAACCATTTTAATCATAAACATTATAGCTTTTTAATTAAAAGTACTTTTACAAAAAAAATTATTTTAGTAACACTTTTACCACTCACAGCACAAGCATAAGTAGCACCAAATGGGCCCTTAAAGATTAGGATCAAACATAAAACTAAATATCACAGCCAAACAGAGCATTCCTTAAACATAACATATAAAAGTTGACTGTGTCGCACAATCATAATGCATAAACTGCTGTTTAATTCTCTCAATTACTGTAACTCTCTTGAAAGAGCATAGATTCTGATTTAATTTCAATCTAATGATGACTAGATCCCCAATATGAAACAAAAGAATTTATACCATAAACAAAATCCTAAAATTAACATGGTGATCACAATAAATTAAATTAAAACTACTCTTCTAATTCTACTGCTACTAGCATTCTCCATTAAGTAGTTTACCTTCAAGTTTCTCACTTGATGAGGACAACCTGCTGGAATCAATACCGCGTCACCAAGTTTCTGGACAAATGTCCATGGTTCAATGCCTGCAAAATATCATATAGAATTAGATAGAAGGTTTAAAAATAGAAAAGTAGAAAATCTAAAAAAGAAATGAAAAGCCCATGAAATATAAACCAAAAGAATACATAAATAAATAGGACTAACCATATTCCTCCTTTAGCTTCCTCTTATGGTCTAGGGTCAAATAGAAGGCCTGATCATGAATTGGGTGGACAACCTAAACCAATAAAAAATTTAGTCAATAGTTATTATCATTCTTGCAGCTATCCATTTTCCACAGATAAACCATCCAGTAATCTTCACAGCAGAACTCATATTATGCAACCAACTGTCGCTTTAACTATTTCAAAATGAAGAATGATCTATAATTGTTTCCTCTCCAACACAATATCCAAGATTCACTTATCACAGACAGCTCCAACTCCATACTACGTCCACAGTACATACCCTCACTATCATCAATATAATTGCTGGCATCAGCATTAAGATTAGTACCACTACTATAATCAACACTCATACTATAACATGCTTCGGCCCGGAACTTGTAGCAGGGCACTCCACCAAACCACTTGGCGTTCAAGCATGGGACACTAAGCATCTATGGCAGCTACAAGCAAGGTTTAAAGTTAACCGAGATCTTCCTTTCAACTCAGCCAGGTCAAGTTTAACTTTGCATAATCCATAAAAATATGCCATTCTGAGCTCGGGACTCATCAGTAGTACCAGACCCTTGACCACCCAAAGAAGATCATTACATGACTATACTTTGGCTAAATACTACATAAAAAATACATTATTGTATATTATAATAGTCTATTTTACTTTCCTAAATCTTTTTATCCTTTTGCAGCTCCACTAATTTCCAAAAGATTTATTCAAATCCAAAAGTAAAAAAGAAAAACTCACAGTTCAGTGTAGGAAAACCTAGATATTGTCGTTCACAGTGCTCATTAAACAATTACCTTTGGCACTGGGCAGCAATATATGTGTCTGAATTCCTTGAAATGCTTTTTAAGGTAGTCCTGCAACTTGGGAATATCTTGTATCCGGAAAATATCCCATAGAGCACCTCCCTCAGCATCTTCCAGATCTCCAAACATATGTCTAGGCCTATCACTCTGTTGAACAACTTGGTCAGCTAGATGCTTTTCCTCATCAAATTCATTAGTAGATTCTTCTTTATTTGCATCCGAGCTATATAAGCTACCAACTTGTACACTGGTGTTCTCCTCTCCGTCAATTCCCAGACCACTCCCAAAAATTTCTCTTCTGTCTTGTTCAATGTGCTTTTGCTTCAACTTTTCTATTTCAGCAAGCTGTTCGGGTGTGAAGGTCACTTCAGCAGTATGCGTCAAGACATTCACTGAAAAGAATTGCATACTTCAGATCAAAAATCGGAACTATAACCCGTTGGCTTTAATTACAGTTGAATTTATAATGCAAAGTAGCATCCATCAATATGTTAAGAGTTAATGGAATATAAACATAACACAAACATTGCTTACTACAGTGGTAAACTATCAAGAATTTCCACCTGCTATCCAATTGTATTCCCAGGCCATTTTCAGATGACAATGTCATGGAGGAGAAGTAGCAACGAACCAGCTTATCACGTTATAGTACAGAAATTAGCGGTACATAGATGAGAAAATAGAAGAATAAAGAAAGAAAAGAAGAAATGGTGGAATTAAAAGGAATAAACACAACAATATAGGCTAGAAAGAACAAAAACTCAAGGAGACAACAGAGATAACTGTGAACAAAACACTAAGAAATTCCCAATTCAACAGGATCTACTATTTTCTAGATTAGTCGCCTTTGTATCAGCACTAATTATAACTCTGACAACAACTAATAAGGAAAATATCAAAAATAATAAGAGAGGAAACGAAAATTTTCTAATTCATAATAAAACTTAAAATCCAAGGGGGCTAAGTAAATCAAAAATACCAAATAATAATAATTATAAAGAACTTCTTCAATACTCAAGTATCCTAATTTAGGATCTTATTCTACATCATTTTCTCTCACTTGGTAAAAGTCAACCTCGTCTATGAAATGATAAAGCAGCAGCAGTGACAAGATAGGACCACACACTTCAAACCGTAATGCCCTAGACCAAAAACCCTAATACATTACAAGGCTACATAAATATGCAACACTCAAAACAAATCTCAAATAAGGCTAAAATACGTCCCAAATATTAAATCATTAATGATTTCTCTGAATTACTCAAGCTCAAAGTTTTGAACTTCTTAATAAAAAATTATCTAGA